CTAGGAACAGTGTACATGTCCATGGACTGCTGAAGGGATGTTCCATACAACAGAACCATTCAGCCATAAAAACAAACAAACAAACAAACAAACCTGATATCTGAAACAGCATGAAAGAAAAGCAAAAACATTTATGCTACGGGCGCCTGTGTGGCTCAGTGGGTTAAGCGTCCGACTTCGGCTCAGGTCATGATCTTGCAGTCTGTGCTAACAGCTCAGAGCTTGGAGCCTGCTTCAGATTCTATGCCTCTGTCTCTCTCAGCCCCTCCCCTGCTTGCACTCTGTCTCTTTCTCTCTCACTCAAAAATAAATGTTAAAAAAAAATTTAAAGCATTTATGCTAAGTGAAATAAGCCAGGTACAAAACTATATGGTACCATTTATATGGCATAGAGGAGAAAACAATGGGACAATATGCAGATCAGTGTTTGGCACGGTGGTAGGGAAGTAGTTCGCTGCCAAGGGGCAGGGAGGACTCTATGGGGTAACAGGACATTCTATAGCATGGTTATTGTAGAGGATCACATGAACACATCCATTTCAAAATTCATTATATACTTAAAATTGGTGATTTTTATTTTCTGTAAATTACATCTCAATAAAACTTTTCAATATTTCTTTGGGATTTGGATGTTTATTATTTTATTAGTACAACGCCTGCTAAAGGTTTTCTTAAAAAAATTGAAAATGATGCTATATTTATTTTCTATTGCTATGTAATACATTACCACAAACTTAGCAGCTTAAAACAAGAACACAAAGTTCTGGCAGGCTCCACCGGGTTCTCTGTTCCAGGTCTCACAGGTCAGAATGAAAGTTGTCAGCCATCTGGAGGCTCCGGGGGAAAATCTCCTTCCAGGCTCTATCAGGTTGTTGGCAGCATTAATTTCTTCATGGTGTAGGGCTTTGGGTCTCATTTCCCCAACACGTATCCACCTCCATCTCCCAGCCAACAATGGCTCATGCTGTCCTTACTGTGCTTTGAATCTCTCTGCCTTCCCCTTCCATGTCCTCATCTGTTTTTAAGGCTCCTGTGATTACATCCGACCTACCTAGTAATCCAGGGTAAGCTCCCTGTTTTAAGATCAGCAGATTAGTAACATTAATGACATCCACAATGCCCCTCTTGCCATTTAAGGTAATGTATTCACAGTCCTGGGATTGAGATGTGAATCTTGGGGACCATGACACTGCCCCCACAGAGAGGCACTACCACTGATAATGGTGACAGCTAAGGGGCATTGAGTACAGCCAACTGTGTGCCCGACAGCAGGCTAATTGCTCCAAAGTCATCACTGCAGTTTGTGTTCCTGCCTGCCTTACGAGGTGGGTGCTATTTGTGTGGTCATTGTCCAGTGTGGCAAACGAGTATGGAAAGCTCCGAAAAGTGCCAGGATCACACATTAGTTAATGACAGAACAGACATTAGATTAAAATTTATCTGGGTCCCAAAGTGCTAGACTAATGGTGGCTCTATTTTGGTCACTGTTTTTGTTAGCTGATTTTATTTTATTTTATTTTTTATTAAAATTGTTTATGTTTTATTTATTTCTGAGAGAGAGAGAGAGAGCATGAACAGGGGAGGGTCAGAGAGAGAGGGAGATACAGAATCTAAAACAGGCTCCAGGATCTAAGCTAGCTGTCAGCACAGAGCCCGACGTGGGGCTCGAACCCACAAACTGTGAGATCATGACCTGAGCTGAAGTCAGATACTTAACCAACTGAGCCACCCAGGCACCCCACTGATTTTATTTTAATAAAAAGTAACTACAGCCTCACACCAGCATCCAGAACTGCTTGTATTTTTCCTTCATAAGATGTTGCACCACGTGTTGTTATGTATGTTTTCAATTATTTAATGAGCAGCTGTCTTTTCACTAAGTGACAGGTGTTTTCATCTAGTATCTCCATGTCCCAGCTGATTCTTGGTTCATGGTAAGGGCTTAATATGTGGCTATTGACTGACCAAATGAATGAATGAATGAGCAAGTGCATAGTATGTAAGTATACACCCCTCTTCAGCCATCTTCTCCAAATGCTGACCATTACTCTTTGCCTTTAAAATGACAGGACAGAAGGATGAGAGTAAGTGCAAGCTAAAGGCATGCATTGTGTGCAGGCTTGCTTCCTGCCAGATTAATTGTGACCTCCTACCAGTGCATCTCTGGAAAGGACTGCTAGGGCCCACTATCTCTCTGTGCTACTCACTTCTGCAGACAGCCCTTTGTGTCATAATAATACAGGTCATATCTCATAATCATATTTGGATGAGTGAACAAATTGAGCCCTTCCTAATGCTAGATTTTAGGAATTACTGCCTGGACTAGCATGTCCCAGGGAATGAATTTCTTTACGGAGGCACACAGCTCAGAGTACATCTTCCCAGACTAGCACATCTACCACTTTACTGAGTGACTTTATGCCATGGATGTTCAGAGCCTACCAGGCAGGAACTGGGCATAGTTCTGGAATACCTACTGTGATGCACCTGGCACATAGTGGGCACCCAAAATACTGATTAAATGAATGAATAAATGCAACGAGTATGCCACATGGAAACTGATACAAATGAACCTCCTGGGATTTGTGTCATTAAAAAAAAAAAAAAGCTCTCCTCTCTGAAACAGAATGAAAAATATCCACAAGTATAAATATAATAATGTTGGACAAATCCTTTCTACAATTTTGAGAGTGAAATTGCCTTTCTTGATTTGCTTTTGTTTCTACTTCTACAAAGACAATGCCCTTTTGATGTTCCTAAATGTAACCCCATGTCAACGATTAGATCAGAGCAGGAAGGGTTTTCTGTGAACATAGTTGCAATGCTCAAGTGCTAAACCAAGTGTGTTACAAGTGGCTTGATTGCCTGTTAAAATATTAATTTTAATGAAAAACCAGAAAATACCTCTCTGCAGTTGTCTCTGTCATCCCCAAGCAGTGAGAACAGAGCAGTGCCTGCTGCAAGTACAGCCTATCCTAGCTCAGCACCAATATGGGAAACAAGTTTAAAGAAAACTATTCCAAATTCCTTCCAAGAGCATACCACCAATCTAGAAGAGGAATCACAGAGAATTTGGATGACCAAAAGATGATGTAGCCACTTTGACTGTACAGATGAAATCTTGGTTTTTGCTTAGATAATCTGAAATATTGAACAAGCATACACAGATATCATGGCACATTAAATTGATATGGGATCAGTTTTTTTGTTAGTCAACAAGTTCAACTGCTAACATTTTCATAAGGTTCTGTGAAAATAGATGGAAATCAAATTTTATTTTTGTTTCAAGAATCTCAGAACCAGAAGGATCTTTAGAGAGAAGGAATTCCAACTTTCTTATTTTAAAGCTTATGTTTATAGGATTATTGACTGAAAGTAATTGGAAACCAACAAATATCTATAAGATAAATGAGATAAAAGTTTCTTTTACATTCCTGTTCAGGTAATGTAAGAGAGACAGCCCCTTCTAGTTTACCCTTTCACTCTGAGTGACCCCAAGTTCCCAGTGAACCTCATGGTATAAGATAGCTGCTAAAGGTCCAGACATCAAATACATAGGGACTGGTCAGAGAAAAGGCTTACATAATAAGCAGAGGCCAGATCTTGTAGAGTTATGGAAACTGTACTATTTAGGCATGGACATTGTCTTACGGGCCCTGAGAATCATTGAGCAGAAGGAAGACATGGTAGAATTTGTGTAAATCCTCCTGGCAGCCCTGTGGGTGTCTTGGAGAAGCATGGGATGGAAGAGAGAAGGCTAATGCAGTAGCTGGGTGGGGGAAGAGCCAATGGAAGAGACAGGAGGTGCACAGCGAGGCAGTGAGCACAGCCTGCACTTTCTGAAAAGGAAAGTCCACTTTCTGAAAAAGAAAGGAAAGAGCAATACAGTAAGGAAGAGATGATGCTGGCCAACAGGACTGACTTCCTTCTGTCGGTGAGCAAGTAGGCATGAGAACACAGGCAGCCTGTTCTGTGGGTGTCTACAGAAGAAGCAGGCTTCAGAGAAGAAAAGGGGAAAATAAGGCTCTGTGCACAGATGGATTTTGTAAGATGAACATTCACAGTTGAAAAGAAATTTGTTGAGCATGGGTCAAAGGTGTTAGAGAGATCTAGGCCAAGAAAGAGAGTCTGAAGGGGGTAAGATTCTTTAGAGATAGGCAATTCTTGGAGATTTCTTCTCTCTCTGAGTGATCAAGAACAACAGAGGTAGAGAATGTGGTTCCAGGGCCTGGTTTCAAATATTTGGATTGGCTCAGGTCATTTTCTGGTCAGTACTGGCTCACAGGGCCAGGGGTGCAGCTGTGGTCTGAGGGAATAAGCTTGGCCCTTTTTGCATAGGAGGTGTATGACAGCTGCACAGGGCCATGATTTGTTCCAGAATGCCACCTGGAACTTCTAGGATCCCTTGGAAAGCAATGAGCATCTACTGTTCCTGTTGTGGTTATGTAAATAGTACAGCCCCCATGACCTAGCTCTGTGTACCTATGACCTAGAACTCAGTAAGGAGCATGGCAGGTCCATTGGGATTTCTTGGTTAGCTCTACAAGTTGTAGAGAAACAGCTTCCTTATTCAACCTGATGACATTATTGCTGTTGCAATGATTACTTATCATGTGCCACATCTTAATTTACAACTTCATAAGTTCTATGTAAGAATAAGATAAGAATCTATCCTTAGTAAATCTTAGGCATTTGTATTACCCACCAATCACTTGATTGTGTTTTTTAAAAAATCTTATCTAGAAATGTGTTAACATCAGTGAATACAACTGTATTTTGGGAAAGTTTTTCTTTACTACATAGCCCACTTTAAAGGCCCTGCTATCTCTTCAAAAGGGCTCTTCCTAATGGGGTGTTCCAGGGGAACTCAGGGCTCATTCCCTACTCAGGTAAATTCTCACACCCCCTCCCTTAATACAGACAATAGAACATTGACCGTGTTGCCAAACTTCAAATATATAGATAGAAAAATGATAAATACAGAAAGCCAGAGACAAAAATAGACATGAGTATATATTTAGAGAGAGATTATGTAATTTACAGTCTAGTGGGGAGGAGAGATCAGAGAAAGAAAGTAATCACTCACTGTAGTAAGCACTAGAAAAAAAATGGTCCTGAGGCAGTGAATGGTCCTGGGGTAGAAAGGGATTCACTTTACACACTGAAGTCAAAAACTCTTCAAGGGGAGTTGCCTTTGGAGATGGGTGAGGCATGTGCAGAGGTCCTGGGGCAGAGAGCTGGGTGGTTGAGGTACTGAAGCCAGCTGGTCACACAGAAAACCAGTAAAGGCAAAATGGCAAGGACAGTAGTAGAGATTTAACACTCAAGCCGTTGGTCAAAATCACCTCTGAATTTCTCATCATTCTCTGTACATAATAAAATTGGAAAAATTGAATTTAAGTTATGTAGACAACTAACCTTTATATTTTTCTTGCATTAAAGTAATTTCATAATAGATTTGTAATTTACTTGGAAATCAATTCCATGATGCCATTTCCTAAACAGCTTCCAAATGCCTTTATCATAAAAGGTCCACATGAAGTAAAAGACTTTCATCAATTCAAGGTTCAGGTTATTTATCCTGGCAAAATTCCAATTAATTGTGAGTCAAAGGGAAGACTGTTTTGCACACAAAATTAAAGGAAACATTTATAGAACTGATAGTCAGTATAATGTACTTTTTTATTTATAAAAGCATCCATCTCAAAGTTGAATTTTGGAAAGTTCTGTCATGCGCAGCAAAATTTGTATACAGTACAGATTAAATGCAGTTTTTAAAAATTATTCTATTATTGATTGATTTGATATGAGGTAACTGTTGGGGTTTAATTGCCTTACTCTGAAAAAGCCCATGTGTCTACTCAACACAAGCAACTAAAAACTGCAAACAGGAATTTCAATTTGCTTTGAAATGTGATTAACTGACTCTATCAGGCCTAGAGCTTGTTTCTAAAGTCTAAAAATATTAAATTCAAAAACGTCACAAGAATGTAATGAACCCACTGAAGTTTTCCAATATGTTGACAAAACACTCTCGTAACGAATATCCTGCCCAATGTCTTAGAGAAGTAAGTTTCACATAATAATGCCTTGGGAAATTTTTCACTAAAAGAACAGCATGGAAGAAAGAACTTGGGGAGGGGGAGATTTGGGAGAAAAGTACCTCACAAAGTTTTCTTTTCAGGTTAAAGAGTTTTTGCCTGGTAGAACAGATTTGACTCTTTTAATCTCAACCTTCTGTCGTATTGCCCTTATACCATTTTTTCGACTTTAAGGGAAGATGGTCCTAATTAGCTCTGATTAGCTCACCCATAGATGTTCACCAACGAGCTCTCAGTGCATGATGTCTGCAGAAACATCTGGACATGTCCATCAGTGTTCTCCCCACTGCTGGAGGCCCACTCCCAAGATGTGCCTGCAGGACATCTGGTCAGAACACATAAGGTGGTTTTTAATAGATCTGCCAACACAACACAGATGGGTCCCATGGAATCTCTTAATTTCTACTTACAGCCACTCTTTTGGCTCCTTGTCTTTTAAAATGAGTCCTGCAATAATCTCTATACATGAAATATTTGCTATCATGCTGTCATCTAACAAAAGCCACTACTGTCTCACAGGTGAGTGTATATTAGAATATGTCTAGTCCTTTCAATTTATTCTTTACAATCAGATTAGAAGTGTCACAGCTGGGGACACCTGGGTGGCTCAGTCAGTTAAGTGACTGCCTCTTGATTTCAGCTCAGGTCATGATCTCACCGTTCGTGGAATCAAGCCCTGCATCAGGCTCTATGCTGATAGAGCAGAGCCTTCTCAGGATTCTCTCTCTCCGTTTCTCTCTGCTCATCCTCCATCCCAAAATAAATAAACTTAAAACAATAAATATCACAGCTGTTAGAAAAGAGGACATAAAAGAATACTATTTAACCAGAGAACTATTGCAAACTGATAATACAATCATTTCATACTGTTCTCGGAGAATTTGTTTTAGGATAATATAGTCCCTGCCTTCACCAAGCACCCTTGACTCTGGTTTCAAACACCATCCCAATCCTTCATTTGATAAACAGAGAGAAAATCAGAGACTCCAACCCTGGAACTATTTCATTCTGGATTGTTATTCATGGTAGGCAGAATTTTTCTGCTTTCAGCGAGACAATTACATTATACATATATATTATGAAATAATTTGTTTTCAAATGCATTTTCCCCTCTGGTGTAAAACAAGTAGACGCACTGGAGAATACTGGAGGTTTTGTGTTCCTGACTGGGCTAACCCATTTTATTGCTGTCTTAATTCAAAGAGGGTATCCCATCTGTGATTAAGAAGAGCAGAAAACCATCCCACATTAAAGGACACAGAACTTGTCTTTCAAATAAGTAAAGGACCAGTTTTACTGGGATATTTTTCAGAAAAGCAAGATTGGGTTTTTACCCCACAGCCAAGTGGCAGTTGTCAACCCGTTTGTTTGGGAAGCTGCCTCTTTAACTCGCTTAAACATTGCCGGTAGCTTGTTTCAGATTCCCCTGACAGCCTCCACCCCCCACCTCCAAGAATGAAGGAGGGTGGAGAAAACTTTTCCAAATTACTTTTGCTCCCAGTAACATTACCAAAATCGTGAAGATATCTTGTTCCAGGCTCCCTCCGGGCATTACAGCAAAAAGACTGACAACCAAGAGCGGCTCCGCTTTAAGGGCAGGCTCCTCACCCTCCTACACCCCGAAAAACATTCGTTGGGATAACACACCTGCTGATTCTTGAGGCTTCTTCGAGTTTCCTCAGATCTCCCTGATGATCTTACGCCTCGCCTGGTGTAACGCGCACCATCCCAAACACCCCTTTTTGCAGCGTGCACAACATATTTCTACACTTCGGTGATTCGCAGTGCAGTCCATCAGAGGGACTGTGAACCCAAAAGACACCAACAGAATTAAAACACCGACGTCAACAAACAGAAGTCTTCCAACTCCCCACTTGGACCCTCCAAGTGGGACCGCGCGCCCAGCCCCAGGAGCCAATAGGTAGCGGTCCGGCCGTTGCCATGGCCACGGTGTGTGTTAGGGCCGCGCACGCACCCCGCGCGCGCCCGGGAGCCAATCAGCAGCCGGCCCAGGCGTTGCCATGGCCCCTCTGTGTGTTAGGGCCGCGCGCACACCAGGTGGGGCAGAGCTGGCCCAGCTGCCCCAGGCCCAGGGCAAGCAAGGGTCCAGGCAGCCTCGCGCCCCCAGATAGCCTCCGCGGCCCAGTTCCCTAGAGCCCAGCATGAGCCGCAAGAAGATGCAGAAGTTGACCGACACTTTAACTAAAAATTGCAAGCATTGTAAGTAAGAATAAAGTATTGGAGGAGCAGAAGCTCCTGGGAAGGGCTCCTCTCCTATCTGGTACTAATGTCCTAGCTGGCACTACCTGCTCAGTCTGCTTTCCGTCTCCAGCCTGAATGCCCGTGGGGCCCCCACTTTACATCCCTTAAAGAGAAGTCTGGAAGGGAGTCCCTGAGGCTACCTTGAGCTGGTGACCCATGCTTGCCCATGATCTTAACGACTAGTATACAGGTATCCAGACGTCTAGAACTACACTCCCATAAATGCACTAACTTGCTTCTGAAACTCTCTTCTTACCTTGCCTTTCCGTTATACAAATGTTACTTATATACTGACAGGACACGTGTGGTTTTAGCCTCAGACACATGTATAAAATAAGTACTGAAACCCACCAGGTTAAAGAAAACTAGTACAACCAACTTGTACCTGCTTTCTAGCTCTTTTTAGAGCAAGTAAACTGGCGAGATCTACGTTCTGGAAACTTACCAGGAAATCCGTAAGGGAAAGACAGCTGAACATCCTTAGGAAAGCTGAGTTGAGTAGCACAAAAACCTCAGAGCAAGGAAATGTGTCTGGAAACCAAAGAGCTCCACAATGCTAAACACACAGTAAAGAACCTGCCCCCGACTCCAGACTTAGACTTTGCAGTTGCTGCTGGGGTTGCAAGGTAAAAGGTGACTGCAGGCGACAAAATGAGCACTTAATAAAGAGAGCTGCTCCGATCACACGTTCTAAAACATGGCCCTAGAATTTCACAGGCAACTTTAGAATTGTATCCAGACTGGAAACAACAACAACAACAACAACAACAACAACAACAACAACACAGCATTGTACTGGAGCGAGGAGGCATGGAAGCTATAGAGATGGTTTACAATGAGAAACATATGTCTGATGGACAAGCTTATAAATTGTTTCGCTGATTGCAAAACTAATTGCCGCTTGAGAAAACAGGAGACGCCATAATCCCAGGACCACCCCCATTGTGCAAAGGAGGAGCAAACAGGTTTAATGTAGTCCTAGAGATTTAGGACCTAGTGTCTTCTAGTTGTATTTAGTATCTAATGTAATGAAGGGTGAGATATGCTCCTTTACTGGACCAGCACTTAACTACAAGTTAGTGTGTGTATAAACATCTGAAGTTTCTTAGGAAAAAAGCCATCCTATAATGTAAGGGATTATTATGGTTATTATAATCTGATGAGAGTTTTGTTCTGTTGTTGTTTTTCTCAAAATAATTCCACTTCAGGGGGGAAAAACAGATCTTAAAACACCTAGTGAACATTGTGAATAAGCAATGCAATGACTGCTATACACAATGCTGAATTTGATTTAGTCTCTGTTCAGTAAGTTTGCAGTGTACTGGAACAGTCATTCTGTGAACAATCAAAAGGTGGGATGTATTAAAAGGTAAGTGAAAACCTGGCAGGTAAAATAGTCATCTCTTTTTACTTTTGTCCTTACATAAAATTTTTAAAATGAGCCTTAAAAACCTTGATGATCACTAGTTAAATTCTATAGAAATAGTTACAAGTCATGGACATTATAATTAAAACGTTGTTTTAAACAGAGAACCTTTCCCCTAAAGTCATAATTTCTTTTACTTTCCAGTTGATAATCTACCAGGATGAAATGGAATAATTCTGTAGAATCAGAGAAAAAAATATCTTAAGTGATTGCCCAGCTAACCTCCCATTCTACAAATATGATGTACAGAACACATATAGACCAATCCAAAAAGATGAAAATCAATTCTTGAATCTCCCTCAGTTTCATTTAGTATTTTATTCTAGAATTTAAGAAACATTGCAGCAAGAAAAACTTTCTTATGGATAATCTTGGATCTTTTGGGTAATAAATTAAGCTAGTATTCGTTAATTTTTATTTCACCCATAAATGAAAAAATGGCTAATCAACATCCTCTCTGCTAACATTTCATATACATGAACATTATTCTTCATGCATGCTTTTCTCTGTTTTTTTTTCATGCTTATTTGACAGAGAGACAGAGTATGAGTGGAGAAGGGGCAGAGGGGGGAATCCAAAGCAGGTTCCAGCCTGTTTTGTCAGCTGTCAGCACAGAGCCTGACATGGGGCTCAACCCCACCAACTGTGAGATCATGGCCTGAGTTGAAGCACGTAACCAACTGAGCCACCCAGGCACCCCTATGAAGGCTTTTCTTCTCCAGCCACTAACAGCTCTTTATTTTTAGAGGTTTATGTGTGTGTGGTTAAATATATATAACATAAAATTTACCATTTTAAGTGTACAACTCTGTGGTGTTAAATGTGTTCACATTGTTGTGCAGCCATTACCACCATCAATCTCTAGAACTTTTTCATCTTTCTCAGCTGAAACTGTATCCATTAAACTATAGCTCCTCATTTCCCCTTCCACCAGCCCCTGGCAACTGCCATTCTACTTAATGTGTCTGAATTGTACCACTCTAGGTACATCACATAAGTGAAATTATACAATATTTGTCCTTTTATATCAGACTTATCTCAACAGAATGTTATCAAGTTTCATCCACCTTGTAGCCTGTGTCAAAATTTATTTCCTTTTAAAGACTGAATACTATTCCATTGTATGCATACACTCCATTTTATTTATCCATTCATCCATCAATGGTCACTTGACTTGAGGTCACATAGCCTTTTGGCTATGGTGAATAACATTGTTATGAACATTGATATACAAGCACCTGAACCCCTGCTTTCAGTTCTTTTAAGTATATCCCCAGAAGTGGAGTCACTGGGGCACATAGTTTAATATCTATATTTAATGTTTTTTTGAAGAACTGGTATGCCATTTTCTATAGAAACTAACCACTCTTTTTTTTAAGATTATTTATTTTGAAAGAGAGAGAAAGTGGGGGAGGGGCAGGCAAGGGAGAGAGAAAAAATCCCAAGCAGGCTTCACACTGTCAGTACAAAGCCCCATGACCTGAGCCTAAATCACAAGTCAAACGCTTAACTTACTGAGTCATCCAGATGGCCCATAACAGCTCTTTTAAAAGTTATAACCATTATATTATTTTCTACTATTTAATCAATTAAAGAAAAAAATTTTTAACATTTATACAGGGAGACAGAGCATGAGAGGGGGAGGGGAAGAGAGAGAGAGAGAGAGAGAGAGAGAGAGAAGAGAATCTGAAGCAGGCTCCCGGTTCCTAGCTGTCAGTACAGAGACTGGCTTGGGGCTCAAACTCATGGAGCACCGGATCATGACCTCAGCCAAAGCTGGACATTTAACTGGCTGAGCCACCCAGGTGCCCTCTAAACAACTTTTTACCAAATTTTTTTTTTATTTTTGAAAAATTTTAAATGTTTTATTAATTTCTGGGAGAAAGAGAGAGAGGCAGTGTGGGCAGGGGAGGGTCAGAGAGAGATGGAGATACAGAATCTGAAACAGGCTCCAGGCTCTGAGCTGGCTGTCAGCACAGAGCCCAGCGAGGGGCTTGAACCCATTAACCGTGAGATCAGAGCCAAAGTCTGACGCTTAACCAACTGAGCCATCCAGTAGCTCCATAAATATTTAATTTCTCCTAATTTTCAACATTCCTCCTAAATTGTGGTACCCAAAACCAGATATCATATATCCTGTCTTGACTTGTAGGATGAGGGCATGATTTTTCATTCCTACCTGCTGTCTTCCTTTATATTCAAACAGGTTTCATCCTTGTGTTTTAAAAATGCTGAACCATAATTTTGTTTTGTTTTGACATAGATCTTTCTCATCCTCCACCTATACTTCATTTTAAACTCACTTTTATATTCTTTTTTTTTAATATTTTATTTATTTCTAGGAGAGAGAGAGAGAGAGAAAGAGAGACAGCGTGAGCAGGGGAGGGTCAGAGAGAGAGGGAGTCACATACTGAAACAGGCTTCAGGCTCTGAGCTGGCAGTCAGCACAGAGCCCGACGCAGGGCTAGAACCCACGAAGCGCTAAATCATGACCTAAGCGAAAGTCGGACGCTTAACCGACTAAGCCGCCCAGGCACCCCTAAACTCACTTTTATATTCTTAATGCCAGGCAAGAACACTTCTACCTATGTACCTCAAATGAGAATTAGAACACAAATAATTAGCTGAGGATTTATAAACACCCTTCATGCAATTTTATGCCTGGGCCAGTATACATGTCTGTGTATCTATTTTAAATCTATTTTAAAAATTCTCTTCATCCAAAATACTACTGAATACTTGCATGTTAATTTTCAGATCATATACAATAAGGACCATAATGAGTGCTAGAAGGGTAAATGCTTCTTTATTGTGATTCTGATGTCCAAAATTCTGGCTTAATGATTTCACTAAGGCGGATGTGAAGTGAAAATTATTGCATGGTGCTCAGGAGCCTGGTATCTATTTCCAGGGAAAAGTTAAGTTATAAATCTCATAAATGCCTATAATAAAAATGCTAGGGAAAAATTACCCTTCTTAAACATTACCTTGCTCACTTTAATTGCACCTCTGCTACCTTTAAAGTTTAAGATCTGACCCCACAATCGTTCTTCAGGTAACTTGACTAATATCCTTTTCTTCCTATACATGACTGAGTTTACATCTGTTTAATATTCAAGTCCTATTGGGTGGGAAGGCTGTTTCTTTTCTTTTAATGAAGAATCCTGTGCAGTGGCCATCGCTATTAATTTAAGTGTCATGAA